TGTTCTATGGGAAAAGTTCTTTGTGTGATGTTCTATGGGAAAAGTTCTTTGAGGAATATGGTTCTATCTGGAATGTTCTTTGAGGAATGACGTTATGTTGGGAACGTACTTTGCGTAATGTGGTTCTATGAGAAAAGTTCTTTGAGTAATGCAGTTCAATGGGCAAGTTCTTCGAGGAATGTGGTTCTATGGGGAATGTGGTTCAGATTGAACCTTATGGATTCACTGGTTTTTATTTCTACGAGTCATGGTCATGCTTAGTTTCTAAAGACAAATCATCGATCAGTTCGAAGAGTTTGTGTTTCCTCTCCGAACATTTACAGCTGGATATAGATTAAATGGACAAAAGAGCACAAAGTTCTGACCCAGCTTGATGATGTTAGGAACAGACGTGTTCCTGCTCCGCTCTGTGCACGCCGTCACCGTCAGGTTGTAGATGTCTCCTGGAGGCAGCGGGAGGCTGGCCCGCATGGCGTTACGGGTCACCTGTGACAAACAACAGACCTGGGTTCAGGGAGAGACGCTACAGGAGCCCAGAAGTCCAAACTAAGAGGAGTTTTCCACAGAGGAGAATATTTTTGCACAAATTCTTCTTTTTCTGCAACTCTGCAAGAATTAAACTTCCTGCAGGTTTTCTGAGTTCTAAGTGTAAACCAGCTGAGCGACAGCATCCTATTATGGAAAATCCAACTAAGATATACATAGGATAATAATTAGGAACAGAACTGCATCCCTAACTTGGGACTGCGGAAAAAACAACATAATTTCATGAACTTCAAGAGATTTTGCATCTATTTCTTCAGGTGGCATCACCATCCCAGGTGCTGCCCTAAAACATTGTTATCTGTGCAGACAGGTGAGAATAGCTCCGTCCTGTTAGTGGCGCCTGCATATCTAACATCTGACGCCTCATCCTGAGACAACCTGCTGAATCTGAAAACCATCACCTGCTGCAGCCATGCTTGATATTAAAGATCATAGCATCTATGGAACTTGATTTGGGTCACCAGTTTCACTCCTGGCTGTGTTTACACCAAGTGGTTTCACCCCTGGTTTTGTTTGCATTAACCAGTTTCACCCTGGTTGTGTTTACACAAACATCTTTCATTCCTGGTTCTTTTTACACCAATAGGTTTCACTCCTGGTTCAATTTACACAAACATGTTTCCTTCTGGTTCAATTTAAACTAACCAGTTTCGCTCCTGGTTCTGTTTATATTAACCGGTTTCACTCCTAGTTCAATTTACACAAACATATTTCTCTTCTGGTTCTGTTTACACTAACCAGTTTCATTCTTGGTTCAGTTTAAACTAACCAGTTTCACTCCTGGTTCTGTTTATATTAACTGGTTTCACTCCTAGTTCAATTTACACAAACATATTTCTCTTCTGGTTCTGTTTACACTAACCAGTTTCATTTCTGGTTCAGGTTAAACTAACCAGTTTCACACCTGGTTCTGTTTGCATTAACCAGTTTCACCCTGGTTGTGTTTACACAAATATCTTTCACTCCTGGTTCTTTTTACACCAATAGGTTTCACTCCTGGTTCAATTTACACAAACATGTTTCTCTTCTGGTTCTGTTTACACAAACAGGTTTCATTCCTGGTTCTGTTTATATTAACCGGTTTTACTCCTAGTTCAATGTACACAAACATGTATCTCTTCTGGTTCTGTTTATACTTACCAGTTTCATTCCTGGTTCAGTTTAAACTAACCAGTTTCACTCCTGGTTCGTTTTGCATTAACCAGTTTCACCCTGATTGTATTTACACAAACAGGTTTTACTCCTGGTTTTTACTCCCGGTTCTCTTTACACTAATATGTTTCACTCCTGGTGGAACTTGAACAGGTGGAACTTAGAAAGAGACGAACTGGAGAACTTACATCCACCGAGTAGATCTTCTCAGGTCCCTTCTTTCCCACAGCCACCACCTGCCAGTGCAGCATCCTGGAGTGAGACAGGTCGATGAAGAGCTCGCCGTACGTCCAGCGGACGAACAGAACCCCCTGATGGTAATCCACTGAGGAGATGTGAGGAGCTTCAGGAGCTGGAGGAGGAACGACAGGTTACATAAAGCATCACACACCTGAAAAGGACGCTATTTTCCTAGAAAGGATGCCGCCTGTAAAGTAGAAAGACCAGTTTAGACAGGATTTTTAAAATTATCAGGCGATTTTCAAAACACGCATGCTGGTGTGAAGGCGAATTTACATTTTCGAGAGAAAAAGCCCTGCATTTGGTTTAATTAGTGCTGATCATTTTTAGAGCAGCGCGCATGGTATGACATCATCAACAGAGCTTTGCCTCTGTTGCTTACCCCGTTTTCTGATGAAGCGACAAAAAAATAAAGATAAAGCAGTGTTTGACAAAAATCACACAATGAAAATGCTCCGTTCTGAGCTTTGTGGCTGATGGATGGATATAGGTTTAAAAAATCGGACCATGCAGGTCACTGGTGCAGTTCCAAAAAGAGAAGGACTGCTCATAATGAGTTCAATTTACACAAACAGTTATCACTTCGGGTTCTGTTTACACTAACCAGTTTCATTCCTGGTTCAGTTTAAACTAACTCGTTTCATCCTGGTTCTGTTTGCATTAACCAGTTTCACCCTGGTTGTGTTTAAACCAACATGTTTCACTCCTGGTTCTGTTTACACCAATAGGTTTCACTCATGGTTCAGTTTATCTTAACTGGTTTCACTCCTGGTTAATTTACACAAACAGTTTTTACTTCTGGTTCTGTTTACACTAACAGGTTTCATTCCTGGTTCTGTTTACACTAGCCTGTTTAAATCCTAGTTCTGTTTGCATTAACCAGTTTCACTCCTGGTTCTGTTTACACTGACTGGTTTTACTCCTGGATCTGTTTACACTAACAGGTTTCATTCCTGGTTCTGTTTACACTAGCCTGTTTAAATCCTAGTTCTGTTTGCATTAACCAGTTTTACCGTGGTTCTGTTTACACAAATAGGTTTCATTCCTGGTTCTATTTACACATACATGCTTCGCTCCTGTTTCTGTTTACACAAACAGCTTTTTGCTCCTGGTTCTGTTAACACTAACTCATTTCACTCCTGGTTCTGTTTACACTGACTGGTGGCAGTCTGAATTGGCATTGATCTATTCTAACATATTTGAACAGATGCACATTAGCCTGTACATGCAATCCTGAACCACCAAGCTGTGAGTCCTATGTTTCTGAATAAAACCGGTCAAACTGGATCCCATGTGGTACCTGTCACAAAGTTGACTGTTGAGCCATCGCAGCAGGTGAGCGGAGGATCCCCCCATGTTACCATGGAGACTCTGAAGTTATAATACCAGGCAGGCAGCAGGTCAGTGACCCTCTGAGAACAAACAGAGAACCGAAGTGAGCTGAGGAGTCCCTAGTGTCCTGAGGTCCTGACTGAGGTCCCATAAACACCACGTTACCACGGTGGCGATCACAGAAGCAGTGGCAGCAATCTCGTAGTACGTTGTCCACTCAGATGCCAGTGTGACAGGATTAAAAAAGAAGGTCTGCAGGATGTACTTTCTGAAGGCCACATGGTATGGGCGCTGCCAGCTGAGGATCACGGCTGTTGGACTCAAAGGATAAACGGTCAGCTCTCGTACACCTGTGGGCTCTGACACACAAAAAAACACATGAATAAGTCCTCCTATTCCTTACTCTCAATCTGACCGGGAGACATGAGAGATGCTTACCGATGTCGATGATGACGGGTTCGGATGGAGGACTGATCAGAGGACCGTTGGTGTGATAAACGACCACTCTGTACTGAGCACCAGGTGTCAGGTTGCTGATGATGTCACTAGTTGTGTTTTCCTGAGAAAACAGAAAGGTTGAACAAATCCGTAGTTAGAACCGCCAAGGTTTAACTGAAAGGCTAAAATATCATCGACCTGCAGACATGACCTACCAAACTGGTTCCTCTACAGTTTTTGAACAACGAAGCTGGGTTCATTTCTAATACTGAACAACCAAACCAGTTTCTCTCTTAATTCTGAATAACCAAGCAACTTTTAATCCTTACCTAATGTAAACTAAACTGGTTTGACTTCTGACTCCAAACAACCAAACCAGTTTCAATCCTAATTCAACGTCAACCAAGCAGGTTTTTCTTTAGATACATAAACACCTAACCAGTTTCACCCCTGATTTAATACAAACAGAACTGGATTCATTTCTGACTCCAAACTGGTTTTACTTTTGATTCAAACACCAAAATTATTTTACAAACCAAAGTGGTATTACTTCCTTTACAGAACAAGCAAGCCAGCTTATATCCTAATTTATAACAACCAAACCAATTTTGCTGGTTTCACACCTAATACAATACAAACCAAACCGGTTCCACTGCTGATTCAGAACTAGCCAATCAATCCAATTAGAACAGATGATTTTAAAGAAACACAGAATCACAGTTCTCTGACGCAGCTGTCAGTTGTTCTAACCAACGGTTCAGGCTCATGGTGAAGGCTTTCCTGTGCTGCTTTTAGGTGAGTAGGAACGTTGTTTTTCTAGAGTAGAATGTGTTGGTTGGAAAGTTGGCTTTGTTAAAGCTAAATGCCTCTTTTCTATTAACTGGACTGAGGTTGTTTCCTCAGCTTCCGTCCAGAATTAGGCTGAAAAAAGACAGAAAGGTTGTGACTAAAGAGCTGTTTATACTCCTGCAGCAGTGTGTCGCAGTGAGCTTGTTGCAGGTATGATGCAGGTATTTTTTGATTTATGCGCATCTTTGAAGCGAGAGGGACAATCGCGAACCAGCTAGGACTGTTGGTATCCGTGTGTCGGTTTGACGAGCTTGTTCGCCATCTATAACCCCTCATCCAGTGAGTGTTCCAGAAAGACTGGCCGTGGCGCTGCGTGTTTTGGCTTTGGGTACAAACCAGACGCCATACTTAGACGACCTGGTTTCTGAACATGGACTAGGCTTAACATCTTTGCTCCTGCTCCGAAACTCTTTCTGAGCGACATCTAGATGTCATCTGTACCTCGCTGCAGTAGGCATTCTCCATCCTCTGGCTGAGGCTGGGTTTCAGGCAGGTGGTTGAAACCACTGACACCAGGCTGCCATTATGGTTCTCAGAGGATGGAGACCAGGAGACGGCGGCGGTGCTGGAGTCCAGCAGTCTGACGCTGACACCCTGAGGACGTTCCTGCAGCTCCTCCAGCAGCTCGCCGCTGGGACCTGGATGGATTTACATAGAGTGATAGAAACAGAACAAAAAATGAGGATCTAAACAGAATCTTTATCACATTAAACGTCTCTATGATGACACAGGAGGAAAGCTCACAGCTAAACATGCTAATAATGGTCCGGTGAATCACCTGGAGATGTTTTACTGAACAATCGAGGCATTTTAGAATCACAACATCCTCCTTTAACTTCCCAAAGGACTCACTGAGGTAGAAGGTGAAGCCGGTGTCGGCGCTGCTCTCCCGAGCCTCACAGTCTCCAGAATTACTCAGCGTGGTGACCTGCACTCGGTACGTTCCTGGTTCCGTCAGCTCGGTGAAGAACTCATGCGTGTTCTCGTCCACAGACGCCGTCTCTGTGGAGTTCCCTGGAGACAAGACCAGAAGGTGAGGATCTTACAGCAGGCAGTGTGGCAGTAAACTGTAAGAAGAGCTTGTCCATCGTTGTGACATCCAGAACCCCTCCTTACTGTGTTCTTACCATCTTTGTAGATGTAGATGAAGAAGCCATCAAAGGAGGTTGGAGGTCTGGGAGGAAGCCAGCGTAGCTCGAGCAAGATGGGAGGCAACTTGGTGGGCAGAACGGGGACCTCGACAGGGACCGCCATGGCTGACCCTGGCTCGTTGGAGTCCTCGTACTCAGACACCACCGCGTTAACGAATTCCTCATCCCTGTCAGCTGGTGATATCTCCGTTGGGTCGAGCCAGTAACTCGGAGACTCCGCCTCCTCTGTCAGGTTCGCGTTTACGTTGACAGGCTCACTTTCTCCCAGGTTTTGAGTTGTGTTGGTAGGAACTTGAGATGTTGTTTCCTCTTCCTCCAAAAGCAGTTCCTGGTGCTCCTCCAGAAGCGGGACGTCCCGGGCCTGGCGAGAGGACCTCTGGCCTCTGTCCATGTGACCAACCTGACCTGAGGTCCTCTGGCTCAGGGCGATGATCCTATGGGAGATGTTGAGGGGGGGATTGGGCACTGTTGGGGAGACAGAGGAGGGTGAGCGTCTGCAGATTCCTCATCTGCTGTCATAACAGAGAAACCATACGTTTGAAAACAAACAGGGAAAGCAGGCTGGAAACATCTTGAAAAAGGTCTGAAAACATCTTGGGAGCAGCCTGGAAAATGTTTGGAAACAGTGAAGAAACAGCCTGGAAACAGTCAGGGAAAAGCCTGGAAACATTCTGGAAACTGTCAGGAAACAGTCAAGAAAAAGCCTGGAACAGCTTGGAAACAGCCTGGAAACAGTGAGGAAACAGCTTGGAAACAATAAGAAAACAACCTAGAAAAAGTCAGGAAACAGCCTGGAAATAGTCAGGAAACAGCTTAGAAACAGTCAGACAACAATCAAGAAACAGCCTGGAAACAACCTGGAAACAGTCAGGAAACAATTAGGAAACAGCCTGGAAACAATTAGGAAACAGCCTGGAAACAATTAGGAAACAGCCTGGAAACAGTCAGGGAACAATCAGGAAACAACCTGGAAACAGTCAGGAAACAGCCTGGAAACAGTCTGAAAACAGCTTGGAAACAG